CAGTAGTCAGCGCAACGGTGATGTGAGCGATCTCCGTTGTCTATCATGACACCCGAGATTGAACGTGATACAACAAGAAATCTTTTTGATTTGTATAATGATTCTATTTGAGCGCTGAAGTAGCTGGTGACTATAGCGATATCCACTGAAGGAATCCTTTTTCAACAGTTGAGAGAGTATTTAGAATTTATCTTTCATTTCAAATGACCTGCAATCAGTTGTTGCATATACAAATCCAATGGACAAGCAATGAAGGTTTCCTCTCTTGCTGCTGTTCCGCAGTGAACATTTAGGACGTTCAAGGCACAGTCGGTTGCTGACTGAAATCCAGTCAAGGAGCGAGCGGTTGCTGGACACTTATCGCGGTATGGACGCGGTCACAGTGCTAGCTTCAGATGCCAAATTCGCTGACTCACAGAGGATGAATCAAGAAAATAAGCTTAGGTCTCGAGAATTCTGTTACCTGAAGAAGGGACTGATATGCGTGGTTTGTAGAAATCGAATGTGTTAGCGGAAAGTTTGAACGGTTCTGGTTGAGGTAGATCGTTGACTAGTCTGATAGATTAATTTACCAAAAGAGATTTAGAATAGAACAAAATATAGTGAACAAAACTTGTTTTCTGTGCTCATCTTCTTTGGTTAACACATCAAAATTTGTAAAACTCGGGTAAAAATGTACAAATGCACCAATATTTTATGCTGTGAGCATAAAATGCGGTTAAGTGAAGAGGAAATGTTGGTCTCTTGAATCCAATCTGGTTATTTTACCCTAGTACTTGAACTCTGAGTCATAAACTATAAGTAGCTGAAACGTGATGCATTTGATATCATCTGGGAGTGAACGGAGGAACCAAAAGAACCACACATACAACGACGAAAAGGTTTTCTGTTTGTTTGCTTGTAAACGGAACCTTTGACTGAAGGTCAAACTGGCAAGACAGTTTGCGATTTTGGGGTTTGATTTGAGAATTCTAATTGGCGCCTTTCATTCCTTGGACTCACTCACAAGACAGGGGGATTAGATATATCACGAGGACCTGATCAGAGCACGTATATGGAAGCTTTTGCAAATCTGTCATATAAGATCTCTGAGGTTGGGTTCACTGGATTTTTACAGGTGCGTTGATTATCGGTCCACCTTTGGGATTTGATCATTAGTCTCTCATACACCCAATGAGACAGCCAGAACATGGGTGGGACATCCCTTATTTGATATTGATACCGACCGGTGAGCAACAGCAGTCCAATGAATTATCAAGTCTTCTCTCACTGTCGCCAGGAAGCCCCATGAACCCACTCTCACGTGAATCTAGTAGATATTTTGGTCGTTAAAGTGCTTCTATACGATTTCTTTTGCGGTACCCAAACAGCTGACCTGATGAAAGCGTTGTGTCTGGACTCGACTCTCTTGCTCTATCACTATGATGTCTTATTCCGTAAAACCCTTTGCGTCATAGAGGGCGTAGGCCATCATGCCAAATCGATGTGTAGTTTCATCGTGATGGTTTCATCGAGAGAGACGATGATTAATTTTGTTTCTTATCTACTTCGCTGTATTTCTGTGCTGACAGATATTCCTGTATCACAGTGCTACGAGACCCATTTCGCTTAGGTATTTAGTTTTCACCAGTATTCCGTGGCTCTATTGTGATTTATGCGTCCTTATATGATTTCTCTCAGCCAATTTACCAAAAAAATAAGTTGAATTTCTCATTGGTTTGAAGGTCTCTATGCCTCTGATGTGTAGGTTCTGGTTACTTTAAGATACTTTCCTCTGATTCGATCAACGAGTGGAACGCAGAAAGCGAGATAACCAGTCCCAACACTACTACCTTATTTTGAAGTTAAATTTGCATGTCAAATAGCGTAGTTAGATAGTTTTATCACTGAACCTTTCGGTCTACAAAACATGAGGTCATCCAACTACTGCATTCTTGTGTACATCAAGAGAACATAGTCTTATTTGTTCATGAAAAGACTGGCAGATGGGAGGGTGAGCAGCAAACCCATTAGTGCACCCTTCTTCCGGGGATTGTGATTGATTTTGTAATTGAAATTCACTAGTATACAATGGGTACCAGGCCGTAATAAATATTTAAATTTATCCACAGGAGTGAAGATGCAGACATTACTTCCGTCGACTAGATAAAATAAAGATTTAAAAGAAACTCAAGAAAAGTGAACTAACGTCCTCCGCGTTCTGTTTGTGAAAGAGAATGAGCCACACAACTTGTATGTTTCAAACCTAAGCCTAAATAACGGTCGCGAATCATTGTTCTGGTGCATTGTATATGTGAATCAACTTCAAATGTCATAAATCTGTCTGGAAGGTATCCCATTCCTGTGCACCTTTGGTAACTCATGAAATCTTAGTTGTGTTGTTTCCCTCAGTCAAATTAATTTAAACGTTTTCCATAAAAATTGCTCCTATTGAGCCAGTGGTCGAACGATTGAGACTACCAACTTATCGACTCGGAGAAGGTGTGTTCGAATCCCAGTAACGCCTTCTAGCCTCCCGCATTCTCTGTATGGTAGCCCTTTGCATTAGCCTTTCTGCATTCCTCAAAATTGTATACATCATTGCATAGACTTAATACAGGAGGCAAATAGAAAAAAGAAAGAAAATTTTAGACTTCTGACTTTCTTTGACAAGTCCTCTATTTTCAATCTTATATCTCCAAATCAATTTTGACAGTTACAGTGTACACTAATTACCATTTATCGAGGTCAACCTTCTTTGTACAAAAGGATAATTCTACCAATATCTGGTCCTGAATATACAATTCGGTGATTGAGTATTTATCAATGCTAAGGTTATGACCGATATGTGTGTTTGAGTGCGGAACGCACTTTTAGCGATAGGCGTTCTATGCTCCCCTAGATCGACAGCATCAGTGTTATCAATTCAGAAAAAAGACAAATGTTAACATTTCATTTGTTCTTCTTAATCACTGATTTAAAACAAAAAGGCATATATTTAACAAACGGGATTAATCAATTCTGATGCTTCAGATGTGCTTCAAATGGAAAACTATTACAAGTACCCTCGCTTCACATCTGGTCTAGTCCGGTAAAACAGTGAGTGTGACTGAAGCATTTCGGCTTCTCTACTGTGTTCGGGGTTGCACATCAAAGCCGATTAAAAACGGTATCCTAGCCACCGCAGAGGCGGTTGGAATTCGTCTACACAGTCTCAACTTGCCATCACTCTCCCCCTCCCATCCTCCTCATCGTCCCCACCTCCTCCTCTTCCCCAACCCACCCCCCGAAATCACACAAGT